AGCCTAAGAGGTTGAGGCTGCAGTGTACTCAACCTCCACTACACTCCAGCCTGGGTGACAGGGTGAGACCCTGTCTCTTAAAAACAAACAAATAACAAAACAACAGCAACAAAAGGTTTAAAAAAGACAGATAGATAATAGGCTTTGTGAGGATAGGTGACCTAAGAATATATCATAAAACTCTTATCTCTTAGTGCTTAACATGGGCCTGATATGGGGCTTAATAATGCTTAGTAAATAATTGTTGAAAGTGACCCAATTCCTCAATAATCATTGGCTCTGCTGACTTTAAGACAAGAGCCAGAAATGATCTTTTCACTGAATATAGCACATTTTATAATTATTGCAGCTCTATAACATGTCTTATATCTGACACAATTATTCTTTTGAGCATTCTTCCTTTATTTAAAAAATACTGGATTATTGTTGTTTATTACCTATAAAATAGCAATATTTTTCTACTTTCTATTTCCCAAACACATCTGCTGCTTTTTTAAAAATTGAAAATACACTACATTTGTTGATTAAAACACAGCTGAAGTATGTGATTTTGAATTTTTCATCCAAGATCATGACAAACATTTTCATGTTTTTGTCTACTACTTTTGAGCCAATCAGTAGCATTTTTAAGTTGTATTCATGTTGATGAATATGAGTTTTCTTAAGTTTGAAATTTATGTTGTTGACTTTGTAAATGGAGATATTTTCATCTACTGGTTTCATTGGCATATATTAAGCTCATTATTTTCTGTATATAAATTTTATATATAGATGCCATACTAAGTTATTTTAAATTTGTAATAGTTTCTTATCTATGCTCTGGATTTCATACAAAATCATTTTTTATGTGTACAACTAATAATTTTACTCCATATTTTAAATGTTTATATACTTATTTTTTTTCCCTAATTGCATTGCTTAATTTTTCCACAGAGTGTTAAATACTAATGATGATAAAGACATTCTCAATTAGCTTTTTACTTTATGGGACTAGTCCCATTGTTACCCCCTTAATTAAGATGCTGGCTCTAAGTCCTATTCCTATTTTATTAAGAGGTATTTTCAAGAGTGGGTGTTAAATTTTATGAACCCATCTTTGCCACATCTATGGAAATAATTACATGCTTTTACTCTTATTATTTTTATTTTATTGTATGTTATTACTCAGTATTATTAAATAATGATTATTTTCCAATGATTCATTTATTCTTTCTTTTTATTGACATGTTTTTAAGACTATGATTTTTTTCTTTGAGCATTTTTTTAGCTATATTTCATAAATGTAGACTATAAATTATGGTTATTTAAAAAATGATTTTCAGTGCTAATTTTAAATTCTTCTTTCATCTAATACTTGTTTGAGAGAAGTTTAGAATTTCTTAGAGACAGATTTTGTTGTTTTCTTTTTGTCATTTAAAGTTTCCCTCCCTCCTTCTCTCCTTCCCTCCTTCCTTCTCTCCTTTCCTCCCTCCTTCCTTGCCTCCCTCTCTTTTTCCCTCCTTACATCCTTTGCTTCCTTTCTTTTTTGATACTTTGATTAGGAAATATTTTCTTTACTTTTTTCTGTATTTTGGAATTCATAGAAACTTCCTGTTGGCCCAGTTTGACTTTAATTTTTCTTTCACTTCTTTCTACACTATTTATACTAACGCTTTATCTTCTGTTTCTGTTTCATAGATTCCTGAGCTCTTTTGGATCTCCTTTGTGCTCCTGTTTTATAAAAGTTGTTGCTATATTATGTTGTAAAAATTTATAGTGTGTGGGGCACAGTGGCTCACGCCTGTAATCCCAGCACTTTGGGAGGCTTAGGTGGGTGGATCACAAGGTCAGGAGATCGAGCTCATCCTGGCCAATGTGGTGAAACCTTGTCTGTACTGAAAACACAGAAATTAACTGGGCATGGTGGTGCATGCCTGTAGTCCCCGCTAGTTGGGAGGCTGAAGCAGGAGAGTCGTTTGAACTTGGGAGGCTGAGGTTGCAGTGAGCTGAGATTGTGCCACTGCACTCCAACCTGTGACAGAGCGAGACTCCATCAAAAAAAAAAAAAAAAAAATTCATAGTGATACATATTGTTACAATTTTCTTCTGCTACAAAAATCCTATCTTTGTTTCCTTTTCTCATATAGCATATAGACGATAGCTCTATAGTATATAGTCTTTAAATAGAGTTTTTCAGGTGATTAATATGAGGGAGCAACAAAAGTTCTAGTCTGAATGAGAAGGATGAGTGAATTTTCTTAGCTTAAATTCGTACTCTAGTACTGTTGATAATAAAGAATGTAACTCTTTTCTATGCCTCACTGACAGATTGCCTTCCATGTATTTTACATTTTGTCATGCTGTCCAAGAATCTAGATTTTATGCTTAAAGTGATTTATGGAAGTTCATACTACAACCTATATATTTTCCCTACCACTCACCTTTTGTTCTGAGTTTTGTTTCCCTAGATGTGACACATACTTTGGATAAATAACCTTTTCTGGGTTTGTTTGAGATCTAAAGCTATGGATATCCTCACTCATTGTATTTCCGTACCTTATAATTTTCAATTATCATTCTTCCCTGTATTTACATTTATGTATGTAGAATTCTGCATGTGTAGTTTATGTATGTAAGCTATTTACATTCTAGTTGCTGTAGTTTTGGTGAAGAAGGATTTTGTGTTCTTGTTTTTTGTTCCGTTTGTGCTTTGGAGGTGATTTGTATAGGAATCGCGAAGTAGCCATTGTATGTTTTTTACAATTTTAAAGCTTTTTTTTTTTTTTTTAAAGAAAGGAGAGAAGGAAAGAAAGAAAAAAAGGAGTAAAGGAGAGGAAGAAAGAGGAAGAAAAAGAGGGAGAGAGAACGGGAATGTTGCTTTATTCTAAAAATGGGTATTGAAAACCTCTTTTATGCCAATAATTGTGCTTAATAATGGCTGATCAATATTTCATTTAAACCTATGAGTAGGTGTGATGTGGTACTGACAAGAATGTATATTTTGTGTATTTAAAGTGGAGAGCTCTATAAATGTTTATTAAGTTTACTTATTCCGGATCTGAGTTCAAGTCCTGGATATCCTTATTAATTTTCTGTCTTGTTGATCTATCTAATATTAATGTTGAAGTCTCCCACAATTTTAAAGCTTGAAAACAGTTTATCTTACATTTAATAATGCTTAATTTATTATTGTAACTATGTGCTCAGTATTAGGACAAAGAGTATATTGAGCATTGATTTCATTTTGCAACTTTTTTCGGCATAATCCTATAACAATATAATATTAGAAACTTTAGTTTACATTTGACTTTTATAACATGATAATTAAGAGGGCCACTTTTGCAAAAATATTCTGTATTGGCACTAATTTTCTATAGGACTGCTCTTATCCTTTGGTATTAAACTTTTTCTACTTTGAAATGCATATCTCATCATCCTTGCTGATTTTTCTTCTGTATTAATTAGCTGATCTAATTTTACCATATTCTCCTGAGTCAGTGAATGACTGTGGGAAGATCTGAGAAGTTCTGCACTGAAAATTTAACATACTTCATAGAGCTGTAAATCTCTTACAAGTTGTGTATCTTTATATGTAGTTAATTTGCATTGTGTTTACATTGTATTTTTGGATATTTAATATCTTACAAACAATAAAAAGTGATCAACAAAAATAATACCAAGAGTAGAAAAGACATTGTTAGTAAAAAGAAGGGATGTTAAATTGAAGAAGAATTTTACCTGTGGTCCTAAGAGTATATTTCCATTGTATGATGATTTCTTTCCTATAGTCTGATAGTTATAGGGATTTAAATTATGTATATTACATAAAAAGAGCCTTCAATAACTTCTTTTTTAGGAATCATGCAAATTCATAAAAGTCTAGCCTAGATAAAAAAATTAAAATGTCCTCAAAATGAACTAAAATAAATAAATGGCCTTTATTCTGTTCTGTTGAGATCCTGAATAAAAGTAAATTGTTATATTTTGCCTGCAATATATGTTTATATATTTCAGGGCTAGTTCAATGTGATTATAAAATTAAGACTATCTTCTACTTAGAATTGTCCTGTCCCAGACATTTTTTAAAAACAACAGTTAGCCACTTTTAGAAGTTTTAATTCCATGTTTGCTGTTGTCTAAATGATTCTTCAATTCTTATTAGTGGCTGAATCCTTCTTAAGTGGAAAGAACGCCAGATTGGGAATTATAAGACTTGAATTGAAGTTCTTCCCTGAGACCTGTGACTTTAGTCCTGTGATATCACCTTTCTGAGTGTTTAATATGAAGGATACTTTCAGATTTAACTATAATATTGCTGAAAACTTCAAAATGTCTAAAAATATAAATTTAGTATGTCTAGAAAAATATCTTTGTGCAATATCTAGTTAAAACAAGATAATTAGGCAAGTAATAATTTATTTGGTCATTTCAGTGCCAAAGATGTCACTGGTGTAATTACCATGTTTGTTTTTCAACAATGGATTTGCCTCACTCATTTCCTAACCCTTCATCGCTGTTTTCTTTTGTATTTTACATTTCTCAGTCACAGAAGTCATAAGATAACATTCTTAGCACATTTAGCACATTAAATTAATTAGGAATCACATACAAAAATATGCCCACTAGCAGTTCTGTAATACCTCAATGCTTTTCACATGAGTGATCTCATTTGACGGAAAAACACCAAAACATAAGACTTGCTATTTATTATCCACACAACGTTGTTTCTGTAGTTACATGTGTTTAAAACATGTCACATCTGGCCTAACCAGAATGTATTTTTGAGTTCCAAATCTGACAATCACTTACAGAGTTCCCAATAATTAAATCATGCCTGTATCATTTATTATAAATATTTACTGAGTATTTTAGCATCCACCCTTTGTTGGTATTATGCTGGGCACTGGAAATGTAGAAGCAGAAGACGCTGCCCTGCTAAGTAGGAGTTTAGAGTTGTGTGTGGCAAACAGATATATAAATGGACAATTACATTAAAACCAGACAAATATGCTGTTTCTTACCATTCTTCCCTTGTTTGCTCTACTTCAGTCTTAACGACCTCCTTGCTGGTCCTCAATCATGTCAGTGGCTGTTTTCTTCACCTGGAATGTTCCTCTCTGGATAATCATACGGCTTCTCACATCACTTCATTTAGCTCTCTGCTTAAACTGCCTCTTTAATGATGCCTTCCATGACCACTCTATGTAAAGTGGTAACTTTTTTATCCTGCTTTTTTTTCCTTCCTGAAGCTTACTAATGCCTGATATATTGTTACACATTATATATTTATTTCTTTTATTTTTTCCCCATTGGTAAGTAAATATCACAAGGGCAGCAGCAGCCTTGGTTTGATCATGACTTTAGTATCTAAACTAGACCCTGAAAAAAGAATAACAATCATGTCGATTACTTAATGATGATAGCAGGAATATTGTCATTGTTTTGTAATAAGCCAATATTAATGATTAACAAAATCCCAGCTCAAGAAGTCTGTGGAAAAGACATACTATGGACCTTAGGTTCAAAGACCTATGGTAGGAATCTTTGAGAAGGATGTGAGAAAAATCACTGTGACAGTGAAAAAAAATATATAAATTTCCTCTATATTTTAAAGAGTAGGGATATACATGAAAACCTTTGATGGGCTGATCAGAAAAATAAGTGTGAGGATTCAGCCATCAGAATCTCACAAAGGTAAATGGCTCCAGAGTGAGAAGAGATTTGGAGGGAATTACATTACTTAGAAAGGGTAGGAGCTGAGGCCCATCTGTCTTGTAAGGATATAAAAAGAGAGTCAAGATTAATTAATGAAGACTGTTTGATGAAGTTGTACTGAAAAATGTCATAGAACCTTTTTTGTCCACCTGAAGATGTAAATCAATGTGCATTGAATATTTTTTAATAAACTAAATAAAATAGCATAGTAGGCTCATAGTATGCATTCAGTAAATTTTTTTGCATAATTCAGTTGCTAGAATGAAAAAACACAAATGATATTTTATGCCTTACATCAGGCCTCCATATTTGTATGTAATTAATTTCATTTAACTCCTATGACCATCCATGAAATTGCTATTATTATTCCTTTGTTAGCAATAAGGAATGTGAGATATGGAAAGATTACTGTGACTTTATCCAAGGTTGCAGTGAGTTACTGCACAGTAGATGATAAAGCTCAGGGTTTCTGAGTCCACTCCTAATAATCATTTAATTATACATGGACTGTTCTAGGAAACAGTAACAAGGCAAACAGGTGAGAGACTGAATAGCTGTGCCAGAACTTGAAATTTTGGAAGAAAATATTCTTTTATTGCTTTTGCTGAGACTGTCTTCACAGGCCTAGAAAATTCTCATTAAGGTTGAGCATAATGGCTCCCTACACTTTGGGAGGCTGAGGCAGGTAGATTTCTTGAAACCTGGAGTTCAAGACCAGTCTGGGCCACATTGACAAAAAGGACAAAAATTAACTGGATATGTTGGCATGCACCTGTAGTTTCAGCTACCTGGGAGGCTGAGGTAGGGGGATCACTTGAGCCTGGGAGATGGAGGTTGCAGTGAGTTACGATTGCTCCACTGCACTCCAGGCTGGACAACACGGCTAGACTGTGTTTAAAAACAAAACAAAACCAAAAAAACCCACCACTTATTAATATGATTTTTTCTTTAATATAGATGACCCATGAAACCCCTGGTTGGTACTTTTATGTTGAGTTTTTATGAGCCAGTAGCTCCTCCTTTCCATTAATGGGATGAAAGAATCTAAACTTTGGAAAGGGACTGTGAGACGTCACATGAGTTATTGTCTTGGCAATGTCTCTTTTGATTGATTGTGAAAGAACACCAACTAAAATGGTAAGATAATGTATTGGTTATGGTATCTGGAAAGACAAAGAGGTAAGATTCATGTAAAAGCTGAATTCAGGTGTTTATAGAATGGCACTAAGGTTTTCCCTCTCAACTCTGTTAGCCTTTGAATGTTCATGTAACATACTCCTCTTTCTCTCTTTCTCTGTCTCTCTCTCTTTGGCAAAAGGCCCCATGATGGTTCCAAGTTACTTGGTCTTTAGAGCACATGCAATCAGAAAAAGAATATAAAAAACTTTCCCAAATAAGCTGGCAGAATGTTAGGGGAAAGCCTTGATTGGTCTGATGTGAATCGCACGTTTACCTGACCTGGGAAGCCTAGTGGGAGAAAGCTCTTGCAGGTTAGGCCTGGTTCAGAAGCTCATCACTGGAGTCATTGTGGATGAGGTTTATATCCAGTTGAATTTTTCAGAGTGGGAAGAATTATTGTAGAGTTGGAGAGAGAAGGACAAAATGCTATGCAGATAAAAAGCATCCAACAACCTCACTGAACTTCTACTTCTATGAACCTTATTCTTCCAGTAAGCAAATATTTGCAAAAATATTCTCTATGCCAAGCTCTGGGCTAGTCCCTGAGTATTATCTTTTTAATCAATAATCTTTGCCCTTGAAGATACAGTTATGAAAGAAACAGCCAAAAGGCAGGGAGATAAATGCAATCACAAACCAAGGTCTAAATTGCTTCAGGAGCTTGGAAGAAGAACTGAAAAAATGTAGACTTCTTACCTGACCACTTCCCTTCATTACCACTCCTTGACCACTACCAGCAATTTTCAAAAGACAGTCTCTTTGCAAACTCTAGTATGTACTTGAACATACTCTTTCCTGCATCCCTTCTGTTATCAAAGGCACTCACTCTGTAAGTCATTTCAAACAGCTCCAAAAGTTCCATTCTAAAGTCATGGTTTTGAAATATTTTAGGATCTTATCATCTTCTCCTCATTTCATGAAACTGGCTTCAGTGACATTTTGTTTTTAGACACGAGAGACTAGTGCTGGGAATGGAAACAGATGAAGAGGAGGGAGGGTTAAATCATGCTGCAAAGTAAAGAAGGGGTTATCTTCAAATTAGATATATTTATTAGCATGATGACTCATAGGATAATAATGCCACTTTGCCAGTGGCCAGGATAGAAAGCAAGACTATAAAGGAATAACTGGCTTGATACTTAGAGGCATCCAAGTTGTTATATCTTTAGGAAGTTAAAAAAGTACCTTAGTGTCTGCTTACTCATCCCTGGGCCGGATGTTCTAAGTTGGAAAAAAAAAAAGGAAAAAAAGTTTTTCTTTCCTCTGATTCTGATTGTCAAGGACAAAAGACCCAAGCTCTTCTACTAATTATATTTGTGACCTTGAGAAGTCATTCAATCTAGCTTAATCTCTGCTTTCTTATTAAAGAAATGGAGAATGCATGATATCCATTTATGAGTTGGTATGAGCTCTATTTATATATCTCAGTATTATACCCACAAGTATACTATTTATAATATGTGCCTATTATATATGTGTATATATGTGTGTATGTGTATGTATGAGTGCATATATGTCAGGTGTGTGTGTGTGTGTGTGTGTGTGTGTGTGTGAGAGAGAGAGAGAGAGAGAGAGAGAGAGAGAGAGAGAGAAAGAAAATTAGACCTTTTTCAGCAGTGGAAAACAGTAGGTATTGAGTAACTCATCTCCCTTATTGTTCCCCTCTCTTCCTACTTGGACTCAGTTTCCACCTTTATAGAAGACTGAGCTGAATCAACTGATCATTAAATACCTTTGTGCTTCTGATATTCTGTTTTTCTGAAGATTTTTGTACCTTTCACTGAGAGAAAAATGGCATGTTTTTTCCAGAAGTTATTTTCTATAAGTAACACATTTCTCTGGTCAGGAGCATTCTTCTGCTCAGTGTTCACACGCACTTTTTTTGCTACCATAAATACATTTAAAGAGTCATTACCACTCAGTTTTACCACATGGCTTTCCAAGACAGGCAGTGCAGGAGAGTCAGCCAGAGCATTTTGGGAAGGCAGCAATAGGCCTCCAGGGGGACAGGGTTTGTCCTCGGGCATGACTTTCTCCAACAGGCTCCTTGGTAATCTACTCTGGGTCAGTTTCCCCGTATATAGTTGCTGTAGCATCTCTTCATTCTTCATCTTTGCCCTCACTTGGAGAGAAAATGATTCAGAGGAACCAGGACTGAGCATTTCTGTTAAAGCCATCCTACCCATCACTATAGCAGCACTGAAGGCAGCCTCATGTTTTCTGCCAAACTCAACGATTTAAATTTTTATATCATTTTCCACGGCTCTGCAAGCATCTGTCATGACCCACAAACAGCCCAGTAGAGTCACAAAATAATAGAATGACAGAGTCAAAAATAACTCAAGAAGTCTCCAGAACCATTCATTTCTTCGTTTTAAAGATGAAGAACTTGACAAACATCGAGGTTAAGTGACTTGCTCAAGGTCTCACAATGAGTTAGTGACAGAGAAAAACAGGCAAAATACTATCACCTTTCCCTGATTAACATTTACGTAACACTTTAAATTTACTGAATACCTCTTCCATACAGCTTATTAAACTCTCATTAAATTTAGTTGAATTATTTATTATTTTTTATCCCCACATATAAGGAAACTAACTTGAGATGAGAAAGATGAAGTAACTCCTTCTGAGATCATCTATCTGGCAAATAGCGGGACAGAGATCTGTATTCCTGCTATTTTCATTTATTTAAGGAAAAAAGCAAGGAGAATTACCTGTAAATTAGACTCTGACAATTTAAATAGAAAAGAAATCTATCATGGAATTGGTGACTGTAAATTTACAATAAATAGATTTGTATTTGATTTCTGCAGAATCAGGACTCTTAGAAAAAAATTGTATTCTAGCAAGTAAATACTAAAATACCCACTTCTGATTTGGCTTCTGTGGAAGAAAATTTAATATGCCTTTTATTAAAGAAACTAGTGACTTTTTAACAAAAAAATTGTTAATTGAGGTAACGTTGGAAGTAGCGATAAAAATAAAGAGTATAAAAATTACCCATCCACAACTCTATAATATAGAGAGAACAACATGGCATATATGCTTCCAGATTCTTAAAATTATCTTACACATATGTGTAATTCTTTAAACAAAAAATGTTATTACACTATATGTACTCTTTTTAAACTACTTAAAAAAATAAACAAATTGTGAGCATTTTCTCTGGGAACATATACATATATTCATTCTTTGTCTCTGTTTAATATACATTCTATGAATATGAAGTTTCCTCTTGCTATACATTTCAGTTATTTCAAGTTTGACATTCTTATAATTCATGCTCCAGATGAACATGTTTTTACCAATATTTGTACATTTCTCAGATTTTTTCTTCAGAATATATTTCTAGAATTGAATTGCCAAATCAGACAACGTGCATATATTTACAGCCTTTTAGACATTGTGCAAATTGCCTTCCAGGGTGGAGAGAGGTGAATTCATTCTGTCATACCTCTCTGTCTTGATGTCTGATTTCTCAGGCCAGATACT